GGTGAGCGTTAGGTTTGCAGAACGGACTTTAATAAAAACATCTGAACCGTGACGAGGTTTTTGATGATGCTACAGTGTTCAGACGGGTTTCCTTCATCAACAGTTTTAATATTCCACAAACATTTCTTAAAGTAAGTCAAATTATCTAAAAATAATACATTTTCCTCCCTGTGTTGAACATTCTGACAGAAAGCGTTCGAGTGGCGTGTTGCCAAAGTCTTGCCATAAAAGCTGAAATCAACTTAACCTGCACCTGACTCAACCTGCTCCATGTAAGGAGGATTAATCCCACCATGAACCTCCGACACAAACTCCATGCTCGCTCTTCTGCACACTTGTTTGATGGTAATTTGTTGTGATGGCAGCTTGTCAACCCAAATGTACTCGTAAAAAATAAGCTTAATGTCCATTCCTGCCAAAAGTGACCAGTTTGGTTGTTTGGCACATTTTTCTGCAGTTCAGCTGAGGATGATGGAAAGCTGTAGAAAAAGCACATGAGCTGTTACTCCAAATAAAAAAGACAAAAACCGGATATAGCTGGAAAACCTCTTTCCATTTTTTACATTGTGCAACAGATTAAATGTGCACAAAGGAAAAAGAAGCGTAATAAAGAAATAGGCTTCAGCTCTAAGAAGCACCGGAAAATCATTCCACGGTGGCACACGCTAATCTCCCAGCGTTACGTTAGGAAACGCCGCCGCCTCCAAAGGCTGCAGGATTATTAAGCATGTTGTTCTCTTAGAAAGCTGCTACGATAGAGGAATATCTGGAAAAGGAACGAAACATTGCAGCTAATATCAAAGGCTGTGAGAGACAGAAATAGAAAGCAGTCAGAGGTTTAGAGCCGTGTGGTTAGAAGAAAGAGAACTCAAGGCAGGTGAGTGTGTGTTAATATTTCTGTTTATTGGCAAAGGCAGACAACAAAGAGAGTCTCTAAAAAGGACACGCAGATCGATGCCATGACAACAACTGACAGGAAACAGGCTAAACCTTTGTGGCACACAGTTGAACAATCCCTGCATCTAAAATGTTAACAGGTAACATACATGACTGAACTCATAGTGAAAGCTGCACTGAACTGTTGTTGGGTCTGTATCCAGCTTTAATGCATCACAGAGATATGCTGTTCATTTATAGGCAAGAGACGCAAAAGCAGGGCCGCAGCAGGTGAATGTTGGCCACCAGTCAGAGCTGTGTGATAGAAAGCCACCGTGCATACTCAGCTGTAAATAATGAACAGCTGTGGGCGGCAGGTCCGTGTTAACTCGTGGCTACCAGGAACGTATCACCAGTTTGGACAAACTAAAATGTTCGTCCGAAGGAACTGATGGCATACGTGATGATCGCAGCCACAGACCCAACAAACACAGGAACAGCTCTAAGAAGATTTAACAAGACGTACGTTTTTGAAACAGCAATTAAAAAGAATTGAAATGAAAGCTTTCAGAGCTACAAACCAAACTTTCCATCCTTCAGTGAAAAAGAATAAAAGACAGAACTGTGTCTCACTGACATCGTTCACATCAGTGACAGTTCGGTTTAGGCATACCTACACATTTGGTTTACTAAGGATGGTGGAGAGGCCCATTAGATCACATCAGGAGGAAGGGACAACCGGAAAAAAGAATAAATAGTTCTGTAGGGTTTCAATACACAAATACCTCGTGTGTGTGTGTGTGTGTGTGTGTGTGTGTGTGTGTGTGTGTGTGTGTGTGTGTGTGTGTGTTTTGGATGCTGGGTGTTGACAGATCAGCCTTGCAGCACAGGCAGCTCTGAAAGGGTTCATGCCTGGATGGTGTTTGAGTGTGTGAGGACACGAACATAAATCCACACGGGGCCACGACTTTGTTCATGTGACTTTAGGCTTCTACATCTGGGAAACTGACATGAATAGGACAGGACTTTATTAATAATGGACAAATGTGGCTGATTTGCAAAGGGAAAAAAATAGTGTTCGAAAGGAAACAGTGGAAAACCATTGAGGTCAAACAGGAACTGAAGAAGGAAACGTGTGACCGTGCATACGTCCAGAAACAGCGCTGATGTACCCAGAGTGAGTCACAGTGTAGCAACACGTTATTTGGAGGAACAGCGTGTGCTGAAGTCAGTGTGTGTGTGTGTGTGTGTGTGTGTGTGTGTGTGTGTGTGTGTGTGTGTGTGTGTGTGTGTGTGTGTGTGTGTGGGGTACGGGGAGAAGGGAGGAGGTGCACAGAAGCAGAAGCACAGCGGGCTGACAGTCAGCATGGCGATGGAGGCGGGTTCTAGTCCTCTGAAGCATGGGGATTGGGAAAGGATGAAAAACAGGGGCGTAGGATAAAAGAAGCATCATGGGAGCAGTAAGAAGGAAAAGTGTAAAAAAGACATTGCAGAAAAGAAACAATAAAACAGAAAGAAGAATATAGAACAACAAAGAAGAGTGTAAATATCACAAAACAGGGAGAAAAGAAGGAGGATAAACAGGAAGGGATAAGGAGGAAAAGGGAAGAAACCAGGTTAGTAAAGATGTCACAAAATCAACAATGAGAAAACATCTCGTCCTCAACTCATTACTGGACATGAAAAGATAAACGACATCCTACAGCTGAGTTTGTGTGCCATGCAGAAGCATCATGCAGAAGCATCATGCAGCATCTCTGCGCACACACATCTGCATTTGCACTGTCAGGATTCAGCTTATGCTCTCAATCCTCTGACCCAGTTACCACTTATACCGCCTGCGTCCTTACCTTGGGGACTGCTGCAATAACAGTGATGGATGGAACCACTGTGCCTGATGAGGCTGATGCTGTGTTTACCAAAGCAGGAAGAGAACAGGTTTATCAGCCTAAACTGTGCTCCTGCTGATCTCAGTACAGATGCAGTGTGCGAAATCAGCCACCTTTTTATTAGAAACAAATGCATGCAAACACCACGGTAACACAAGTTGCCCGTGCATGCAGACAGTTACTATGGACTTATTTACATGCAGACCGCTTCCTCCCACTGTCATCAGCATCCATCCTCACCGTGACTTCATCTCAGTGGATCCTACACGGGATGTGAATCAGCATCGGTTCGACTCGCAGGGCGGCTGATTGTAAACTGAACGTTCACTGCATGCGACTGACTACTGGAAGTGCTTCCTTTGGTTCTTGTTTGCTTGTGTTATAGATTAAAAGAGCCACTCGATTTACCGTGGTGCCTTTTTTCCATCAAAAGCCCAAACTCACCGTTCAGACCTGCTGCAGCCAAGACGACAGAAAGACCAAGGAGTAGACAAAGAAGCTCTTGGAAAACTAAATCTGCAAAAGATGTTTGCAAAGCTGCACCAGTGGAGTTTGCGGCTACTAGTGGTGCAAGGGATCAAAACTCTCACGGTTCGGTTCGGATCACGCTTTTAAGTCACGGATCGGATCAATTCTCGGATCAGCAAAAAAAGAAAAAGGACAAAAACTGGAGATACCAACAGATTGCTTTCAGAGATGTGTGACTGTAATGTTTGCTGTTGATGCTCCACCAGTCTGTGGACACCGTGCAGTTCAGAGGCTTTTAGAGATCAACACATGCATAATATTTATGTGGACGAATATTTGTATTAAATGAGAACGAGACTATGATTTTAACCAAAGGAATGCACTACTCCATTTCTAGGTTAATTTATGATTACTAGTCTCAAGTCTTTTAAATCCACATTATGTTTGCCTGCTGGTGGTGGTCAGAGGGCCCGGGGGCGCCAGTGTCCGGCAGCCTCGCCTCTGTCAGTGCGCCCCAGGGTGGCTACAATGTAGCTGCCATCAGCAGTGTGTGGATGTGTGTGTGGATGGGTGGATGACTGAATGTGGTGTAAAGCGTTGGCGTCCATAGGGACTAAGTAAAGCGCTATACAAATACATCATTTTGTTCACTGTTATTCCTTTTAGAGTGAAACAGATAATAAAGCAGGGCATGCTTTCATCAGGAAATAACTGGCAGATATAGATGAGCCGGCGAGGACAGAGCTTAAACCTGCATCTGTGTCATTTACTGTGAAGAGGAAGTGAATCGGCAGTAGGCTGGAGACCCTGCAAATACCTCCTCTTGGAGTCTGATTGGTCGAGAACAGACCTCCTCCACCCACCACCACCATATTTTCCCTGTGAGTGTAGAAGATGCAGGGATGCAACCCTTCACACTGTGCTGATAGAGGCAGCAGTGGGAACTGGGCTTTGCCAGTGAGGGACATGATACACAATCACTTACATACCCATGCATAATCCTTTCTCCAGCAAAGCCATGCAGAGCAGCACTTTATGGATCATCAGCATCGCGACCAAAAACAGCGAACAGAGGAACAGAAGTGTGTATGGGCTACTTAAGGTTGGGAGGTGGGAACAAAGACTACTCAGACTACTGGAAAGGAAAGTTTAAAAGAGAGAAAAAAACAGATGCTCTGATTTCCAAATGGAGCACACACCCACACACAACAAACACTCCTCTCATTGGTCTATTCGTGTTTGAGCAGACAGCCAGAGAGAGATCCGATAGTTCATTAGACGCTCTGTATGCGTTCCTCATCTCTGCTGCTTAATACTTCAAATGTGAGATCAATTTATTCCGATCGTATGCAACAGGACTGCTGAGCACACAGTGTGCAGCTGACGGTCTCTCCCAGCATTGCAAGGATCCCTGCTGATTATCAGCGCAACAATCTGACAACTTCCTGTAGCCACTTAAGACTCGCTGTCATGCAAATACATACAGTCTGATGTTAAACAGAAAAGCAAGTCTTTACTACTTTTTCTGTCTTTTTTCCAACGTTAAACTCGTTTTCTGCTCAGTTTGAGCATCCTGCAGATTTTAAAAAGCCCCAAACATCCCACACACAAACAGGTACACACAACCAATGAACGTGAAGCTCCAGATGGATGAAATGAAGCTCGACAGGCAAGTAAAGGTCAAGAGGCCATGATGGGTGGATGGCGACGACCAGCTGGCCTTTGCAAACAGACCAGCAGGACAGGCGATTGTGGGACATGTCTTACCAGGCTTTTGCACCCCACGAGCTTCCTGCTTTCCATTCTCCATTGCAGTACCCGCGTCTGCACACACAAACACGAAAACAAGCAAAGACATTACGATCCATCAGAGTGCTAATGGTTTGACCTGAGAGGAAATCAAACTGCACGGCGCTGCGCTGCACGGCGCTGCTCTGCACGGCGCTGCGCTGCACGGCGCTGCGCTGCACGGCGCTGCTCTGCACGGCGCTGCGCTGCACGGCGGACATACGACACACCGAGTCGGCAATCGAATGGAAACCACTGACCCTGTCTTTACTGGCTTTTTAAAGGGCATCTGGATATGGCTGTTGTTCACTTGAGGTGCGTGTTTGTCTTCTGCCTGCCTGGGGCTGTGCTTGCTAATACCACAAAGGGCAGTTACGGTCAGGCAGGGGCAGGCGACGAGACGCATATATCGGCTGGTGTCAGGGGAGGATGCTGAAGGAGTGATGCTGTGTGACATGTGACTTATGAATTATTGACCTTTGTTTGAGAAATGTGAACTTCAGACACACTTTTACACAAGTAACTAAAACACTAACGACATGAATGTGTTGTGACGAGACTGACCAAACACTCTTAATAATGTCTCAGGAATGAGCAGTATGAGGACAGAAAGCATTGAGGCACCGCCGACCTCAGTCTGGCCTCATGGTATCAAATCAAATCAAATCAAATCAAATCACTTTTATTGTCACATCACATGTGCAGGCACACTGGCACAGCACATGCGAGTGAAATTCTTGTGTGCGAGCCCCACAAGCAACAGAGATGTGCAAACACAACAACACAAACGAGCAAAATACAAGAATGGCCAACCTGAAACTAATAAATATATGTACAATATATAATAGTGTATGCATTTCTGGATGTGTATACTAAATATTTTCCTACGTGTGTGTGTGTGTGTGTGTGTGTGTGTGTGTGTGTGTGTGTGTGTGTGTGTGTGTGTGTATCAATAGTGTCAACGGGTTTCACCATAAAGGTGCTGATACAGCACTCTTCTGTGCTAACTTAGCTAGGGCTGCTCGATTATGACAAAATGATAATCACGATTATTTTCACTGATATTGAGATCTCGATTATTTGGCGATATTTATTTAACAATAACAATGTATTGAATAATGACTTTAAAGATTGTCAAAAATAATCTAAAATAGTGCAAATACTGATAACAGTGCAAATGTTTGCAATGTAACAAATCAATGAAAAATGTAAACATCTGTGTTTAGTGAACTTTGCAGTGTTGCTCTGTGGTGCAGCTACACTGTAGCAAAGTTTACACACTGTGTCTACTTGATCCACGTCTGACTGAACCCATAATGTTTCCACACCACTGAAGGTTTTTTACCTCTCTTTTCAATCAACAGCAGTCACTCTCCTCTCCAAATAACTTCTGCTGAGCTTTCCGAGCTTCCCTCGGGTCCTCTTAATCAGCGGTCCCCAATCCCCGGGCCTCGGACCGGTACCGGTCCGTGAGTTGTTAGGTACCGGGCCACGAGAGTTGAGGCTCAGGTGTGAAATGTCTGGTTTTCAGGGTTTTTAATCGGTGTTCAGCGTTATTTTGTTATCGTTTTTATCGTTAACTCGGTTTTCCTGGGTCTTTTCATGTGGTTATGAATAGAGATGGCACGATACCACTTTTTTATGTCCGATACCGATATCATAAATTTGGATATCTGCCGATACCGATATGAATCCGATATAGTGTTTTTTAATCAACAAAACTGGTTTTTTAAATATCTCGCTGCATTTTGTATAAGTTCATACTCAAGTTTAAAACAACAACTACACTAAAGCTATTCTGTTATACCTGTATGCAAAAAAAAATATTTCATAGTTCAGCAATACTGATCAATCTAATAAACTTAGACCTACACCATCCTTCCTATTCTGGTATTTTAAAGAGTACTTAGTGTAAATATTAAGCAACCTAACTAATAGGGTTCCAACTCCCAGCAACAACAAAAATAAATAAATAAAAAATAGGGAACCACCCCTCACACTCCACCTCATGATGCTTAATCGATGTAATCAACCTTAATTTGATGCAGTGTGAAAAAAAATGCACAGAAATCAATTATTTTTCAAGAAATATTAAATAGATTCAACATCTTTCTTCAACAAAATTGCAGACTGCACAGATGGTACCTTCCCAAAGGAAAAAGTACTATAGCTTACTAGGGTATATATATTAGACTTAATAGTTACTATATACAGTAATTGACTTCTATTCATTTTGCATCAAATTAAAACTTTGGGTGTCAGATAATTATTTATTAAAAGCTCGACATTTTAAATGAGAATAAGAAAGAAAAGTATGTCTTTGCCCCCTTTTCCCTGTTCATGCCCTATCGGCCCCCCTGGCTAAACTTTGCTAGATCCGCCCCTGCACAGTTACAGCCGTCAGCTGTAGAAAAAGATCCTCGAGTAGAAAGCAATATTAAATAAATCCTAACAACAGATTATCAAGGTTAAACGTGCTGCTGTTGTTCAGCTGCTGGTTTCCTCTTTCTGGTGCAAAGTGGGCCAAAAACAAACTAGAGAGACGGACTCGCGACAGAAAAGCCGATCAGCTGATCATTAAGCAGTTTCATGATTGAAGTAGCAGCCGGAGAGCGAGAGGCAGTCGCTTGTTAAGCTTAACGCAGGAATGCTTTACAAACATTCAGAGATGGACTTACACACTTGCTTTACTTCTCTCGGGGAAAACTTTGTCGGAGATGAAATGCCGGGTTGCTAGCGAAGCTCCAAATGCTATCCAGACCACCGACAGGTCCTGCATGCCACAGCCGCTCTATCACGTGATGCATACTGCTCCAACGTGCTAACGTTCTGAGGTGAGTTACGGCGTGTTGCAAGTTTTGTGAGGTGCTTTCGTGATATTTAATGGATCGGATTACATTTTTTATTTTTCTCCGATATCCGATCCAGTAATTTAGGTCAGTATCGGACCGATACCGATACGTAATATCGGATCGGTCCATCTCTAGTTATGAATAAACCTTCTTTTTTTCGGTACCGGTACTAGTTTCATTTTGTTGTATTTATCCGCGACACCTTAAAGGCCGGTCCATGAAAATATTGTCGGGCATGAAAAGGTTGGAGACCGCTGCTCTTAATTGTTGTGACGCGTGTTCAAAACGCAGAGAGGTGCGCTCGATTTGCCACACAGAGCAGCGCGAGAGTAAAGCACGAGGGAGGGGCTAATAATCGGCTCAGTCATTTTTAATGATCGTTGAAAGCCCAGATCGTAATCGAGATTAAAATTCGATTAATTGAGCAGCCCTAACTTAGCACTCAGGAAGCAACAAGGAAGGAAACGTGTGTTTGGTCCATTACTGGTGTGTTCCAACGATTCCTCTCAGCTGTAAATGACATACTGTTGATTTCTCTTTAAATGGTGACACATTTGTAAGGAAAGTGAATTTGTGGGCTGTACCCAAAACTTTCCACATCTTCTCTGCTACGTCAAACGTCTTAGTTTGCTGTTGACTGCTGTCGTTTATTGAATCGGACAATCGAAATCTGACAAAACAAGACAAACTGAGAATTTCTAAGAGGAGCCGGAACAGGATGTGGAAGAAGCATACGCAGCCCGAACAGCCTGGCACCGCCTCCTCCTGCAGGTCACACACTGCTGTGGGGTCGTCAGCCAGTGTGGCTGCGTCGGTCAGTCTGGCTCAAGCTAATTCCACAAGTGTTCAGCTGGGTTGAGTTTCAGATCTGCAGGCAAGACGCTCCACCCTCTGCACTCGTGAACTGGAGGTAGTGTCTGTTAAACTGTGGGGGCGAGTGCTGTCATCTGGATGGACAGAGTTCAGTCCCAGACTCTGGAGATATGGGACTGCTGCTGCTTGCATAATCTTCAGATCTCTGCACTGAGATTGCCTCCAACATTGCTTTAGTGGGAGATGCTGGCCCACACCATCGCACGGCCTCCATCAAAAGCTGTTGCAATGAGCATCACGTTCCTCCACACGTTCAGCTTCCAGTGCACGCGTTGCTGACAGCAGCACAAATGGTCTGATGGTGAAGGGCAGGCGTCCCAGCAGACGTGTGAGACTGGAGACTGACCGTGTGCTGTAGGGTCAGTAGGTAGCTGCTGACCATATCGTCCTGCTAATCTGTAGCAGACTATGTGCATAAGTACTGACAGGGTTGTCTTGTTGGGGCACCAGCTTCACAGCCTGTCTCTGACTTCCCTCTACATGACGATGCTGCAACCATCAATAGCAGAATAAGCTGTTGCATTGGCAGAGAAGATCTGGCAAGTTTTTCATGGATGCAACCCACACACTCAACTCTGCTGCTCAACCCACAGAAGCATTTTCCTTACAAACGTGGCGCCTTTTATAAACAGTAAAGACTTATTGACAAGAAGCAGTGTTACAGCAAAGAAATAACTGCCGATCCAAATCAAGACTAGGCTTAGTCACGTACTAAAATTAATGCTAAATAACAGGAACCGTTTATTTTCCACAAGACTGGCAGGTATGGGAAACAAATGGAAATCCTTCTAAATTCCACAGTGGCATCATGGTGCTTTCTCCACTTTGTGAACAAGCTACAATGAAAACAAAGCTCCGAACCTTTCTGCAAATCACCCCACAGAGGTGCGTGTGAGAGTGCAAATGTCAGATGCAGTCAGATTGTGCCCAGGTACAAATAGCGCAGGTATTCTGGTGAATTCACACCATGCGAAGTCACGCCATGTGCTGCCCCCACCGAGCGCTGTGCAGACAGCTTGCCCACAAAACCAAAGGGGTGATTTCCAGAGGTAAGAACGTGCCTGGTGGAGACGACTTCCTGCTGCTTGTTACATGTGAAAAAAGGACAACTGTGGAAAACATCCCGTCCTGGGGAGTTTAGCTTTTCCAAACGGCCTAAGTAGCTTTTATCTGTTCCTAAACCGCTGGAAGCGCCTGCTGGAGGGCCTGGGAGCGCCTGCTGGAGGGCCTGGGAGCGCCTGCTGGAGGGCCTGAGAGCGCCTGCTGGAGGGCCTGGGAGCGCCTGCTGGAGGGCCTGGGAGCGCCTGCTGGAGGGCCTGAGAGCGCCTGCTGGAGGGCCTGAGAGCAGCTGGAAGTCTTTATCTACAAAGATAAACTTTAAATCTGCTTCTTCAGCTTTACAGACATTTTTTATCATTTTATTTTGGCTTTTCAAGTCTTATGTTTTTGAAGTTACTCATAACTGTGTATTATTTGTTTTATTGTTGCCCTTCTATTCACACTAAGCTCCTATTTACCTAAACTTTAATAATAACAACTTGTGAATAAATGCCCCATAGCTCTGTTCTTCTTCGCCACTTTGTAATGGTCTGATTGGTCAGCTGTGCACATGGGAGGTTTTTCACGCCCAGAAAAATTCAGTTTTTCATAAAGATGCAAGTCTTACTCGACTAATCGTGCTAAACGATGCAGCGCTGGCATGATTTCTATCACAACGACGCAAGCAAGGGCACGTAAACAGCAGGATGCAAACCGGTGCATGCCGTACGTACATAAACACGCGCTGATGCATTCAACCACCGAGCACGGAAAGGAGAGGCGTGCACAAAAACATACAGATAAAAGTCGAATACGACGGATGAAATGCACGAGTGCAGCACTGCACATTACTGGAGCACCGGGGCTCTGAAACAATAACTCACAGAGGGGGGAAAACAACAACAAATGTACGCCACCTCCATCTCCCTGTCATGCTGACAGAGGACAATGACTCGCGGACTGCCTCGCCCTGCTGTTTGGCACTCGGCGTGTCAGCATGTGTGCGTTTGTCCAAATGCACACAGCGTGCCACAGTTGATCACTGGCAACGCCACCCACGGCCCGTCCTGCAGCCGGCTGTCACTGACGAGTGCCCACACACAGTCTGACTGTCTGACCGAAGTGTCTGGCTAACCAAAACAGGCCCGAGAGCTGAGTCATTCTCGGCTAACCGTCACTTCTTTTTTATTCGATCCATCTACTGTTTGTCAGCACTGGAGCTGACCTCTTTATTAGATCGTGTACTTTTGCATCCTTCTCAGCCACAGTTCAAACTGCAGACAGCAGCTTAATGTCGTCTCGCCACAGAGGTCAGTTTGGGACAACAGCTGATATTCACTTACTGCTTTCTTAAAGCTCTGACAGGAAACAACACTGGCAGCTCTTGACAGCTTACTTATTCTAATAAAGCTGTGGTGTTTGTCTCGGAGCTGCTGCCATTTGTCCTCGAACTTTGGAATTCCTTCTGATTCCTGCAAACTCAAACTCAGCCGAAGGGTAACGTGAAACTCCTCACGACAACAAATGCACCGCACCCAGGAGCTTCAACACGTCGCCCGCGGCTAATGACCCAAAGGCATCTGATCACATGTGCCACACTTATTTTAGAAGCTTTCTGGAGCCAAGCAAGTTGCTCAAGGACACTTCTTCTTCTTCTTCTTCTTCTGCATACTTCTACCCAGCTGTCTCACTTCCTCCCTGACACAGAGCATTTACTGACAGCTCACAATAAAAATACAGTTTCCTGTGTCATCCCCACATTTTACCAGCCAAATGTTCAAAGCACTGACTGCTGCTCTGCGTATCTTCCGGCTACTGTCTGCCCTGTGGGTGAACGACACCCGAGCAGATCCAAGATGGCAGCCAGCGTGCAGCAGCGCCTGCATCCATCAGTCATACAGGAGCAGCTGGAGTTCAGGTCAAAGGCACACCCTCTCTGCTTTAATGTTACACAGTGTTATAGTCTATGGGCAGAGGAGTATAACTGTACGCTGTATTACTGTTTCATTATTGTACTTTGTTTACAGCTGCTAAATCTTTTCAGAATATTTATGAAGAATATCGGCTGATCTGTCGTTTCTTCATCTATTCTTGGTCCACCTCTAATGATTTTATCAACAATGCATCAAATATGAGTTGAAGTAACCAAACTACAGAGCGTTATTGAGCAGTTTGCCTCAGCGCTGCAGAGCATGCATGTTGCATGTTGTTGCATGTGAACATCTTTTACAACATCCGTCTTGCTAGCCACAGCATCCCCCTGACAAACCCACAGTGCACACTGTGACAGCAGGAATCCTTCTTAACCAGCTGCTAATCAGAAGCTACGTGAAAGATATTTTTCTTAGGAGGTAAAAAGAAGAATGAATGCTGCGTTTAGATCGATGGATCCAGATAAACATGCTGTTCCCCTGCATGTGTTTGCCCATACGATACTGACGACATCACGTTCATCTCACCTGCCCTGGTGTCATCGTTGTCCAGCAGCGGGATGTAGTCCGTCTTTCCCACCGTCTCTCCGACCTTATCGTCAAAGTGCTCCGCCTCCAGCTCAGCCACAAAGTCCCGGTGCACCATGTTCTCCGGGCCGGGCTGGGGAACGCTGTCCGTCAGCGCATCGCTCAGACTCAAGTCTAACTCCGCCATGGCTGCAGACAGAAAGACGCACGAATAAACAAGAGTCCCTGTGTTTTTTTCCTGGTACAGATTCACTTGAAACATAATTTCATCTAAAGTGAAGATCATCACCAAGTCAATCGGCCTTTTACTTCCAGCAGATTTGTATCTGCAGCTTGAACCATCCAACCAACTATGACAGGTTTATCAGCATTATGTGATCAGTAAAGATGCTCGGGTGTAATTAGACATGGGATCATTGCCCCGAGCAGCTCGTCACTGCCTGCAGCTCAGGGTACGAGCTGAGCTGCTAACCTGTTTGTAAAACACAGTCCTGGCACACTCATAAGCATGATGTCATCACTCTAGCTTTGCACCTTTAAAACACTCTTCTTTAAATGTGGTGATTAAGGGAAGCACCGGGATTACTAGTCCCACCTGCAGGTTAATTTACAAACACGGAGTCCTGAATCCTGGATTTTGTCTGCAAACCTCTGCAGGTATATGAAGACAAAGCGAGCGGACAGAAAGAGGAAGAAAGTGAAAAATGGAAATGATAGGAGAAGTGGTCAAAGGAAGTTAGAAAAACTCAGTTCCAGCCCACTGGATCATTTACTCAGGAAGTCATGCTTGTTTGGTGTGATCAGAGGAAAAACATTTGGCGTGAACTGAACTGGGCTTCAGATTTGTATCCTGAGGTAGGACAGGCGTAGCCAAAAGACCTGCGTTAGCTGGCATTCCCCCTGCTAAAGTCTACCACCAGCAAGGACTAAACCTGACCGCTCCTGTGCTCGAAGGGAAACTACACAGAAGAAAACTTTTCCACTGATAAAAACTCCATCTGCCACAAGGGGGCGGAGTTTCAAACGAGATCAGGGTGTTTGAATGAAACAGACGAGCTGGAACCAGACAGAAGCACAGTCTGTGCCTACACATGAGTTCAGCTGACCAATGGGCACCTTGGGAATCTGCAGAGTCCTGCTGTGTCATCTTCCAGCTATAATGCCAGATTATCTTGGCCACAGAAGCAGCCAGCCTTTCTCTGCTGCTCAGACACATTAATCTGTCTCCACACTCTCATCATCAGGTCCACTGTGTCCAAAACACTGGGTCCACGGTCAGGGTCGAGGGCGTTACAACATCCAGCCTGCATTGACTTAATATATGTTCTACGTTGGGTGTGCTAACTAAACTCGTATCCACACATGAATAAATATCATTAGTCCATGCATGCAACACATCTGCAGTGCAAACACAGCAAGCCAGCACCAACTCAACTCTCTAGCCCCATCTACTGGATGATCTTCTTATTGACTGCACAAAGAGCAGGTACAGGTATCCTCCCCAGAAACGCTGCCAGTCACATAACTGGGTAGAAGAACTGTTGATTTGTAGTTTGGCAGCCTTTAATGACAATTAGGAACAATTCTCTTGCACTCTTTAGACTCATTTGGGGTTCTTATATTTTCACATACTGGTGGGTACAGGTTCATCTCAAGGTTACTGAGAGATTCAACAGACTCAAAGTTTTGACTGAAGGTAAGGTGGGTGCTTCCTTATAAAAGCCTGATTCATCCATTCACACGCGCATTCACGCGAGTACCTTTGTCTGTGCCTCAGCACGCTCGACCCGCCATACTCGGGGTATTTAAGAACTAAACAGCAGGAGCTGGAGCTGAAGCACAGCCTGACATGTGACGTCTGATATTTTTATATTTACAGAAGCAACATGTGGTGCCTGTTGAAAAAAGACGTCCTCGCACAATCAGCGAGAAACACAGAAAACGTGATCGCGGCTTAAACTGCGACCGTCATGAATGACAAGCAGCTTTCACGTTTGGGAGCGTAAACAAACTCTCACAGGCGTATTCATCTGCACCAGCAGCAGTACGAGTCCCCGGCACAGACCAGGGTGTGTCGCAAACACGCTGCTGCCTCAAAGCCATGCTGGTCACAAACGTTGTCCCAGTTTCCATATTTAACCCCACATCATCTGTGTGTTTAGTATACAGTGTGTCATTTGCACCAGCTGCACGGTTAGCCGAGTGATCTGTGCCACCCAGCCTACAATGTCATTGGATTCACTGCAGGATGAGATACCGTACGTCTTTGTTTGCTGCCTGCCTGGCCTTCAACTGCTTCCATTTCCACATAACCACAGGAGGACAGGCTTTTCATTAGCCCAGCTCCTGCAGTGGGACAGAATACCACCCTGGGATTAAAAACTCATACGATTTTGGGGCTTTTTGACCTGAGCAAATGTCCCCGAGCTGGAGCTGAGCTGCTGTTTTCACCTCCTGCTGCTGACAACTCTGGTGCGGCCACTCGGAAATAATCTGGATTCAACAAAGGAAGGAAATCCATGGAAAGGGCAGCTTCTATTGTGTTGTCTGCCAACATATGCTTGAGTGTGTGTGTGTCTTGCTAAGTCTCTTTTATATACAGTCTGTGCTGTAAGCCTGTGTGTGTCAGCTGAGGTGAAGGTTAAGCCTCCTCACAGTCTGCTTCCACACTCCTCTACTGAATATAAACAATAATACAGCCTGACATGAACACAAAGGCCAATCTAGCAGCAACACGAGGAACATGAGCAGCTCCAAGGAAGCAGGAACGAGGCAACGACTTTCATTTTTCATAGGGGCAGGGATAGCTCAGTAGGTAAAGTGGTCGCCCCATGATCGGAAGGTCGGCGGTTCGAATCCACTTAACGGCTACCCTGAGGTACCCCTGAGCAAGGTACCGTCCCTACACACTGCTCCCCGGGCGCCTGCTTAGTGGGCTGCCCACTGCTTCACTGAGTGAATGGGTCAAATGCAGAGAAAAACAAGTAATTTCCCCATGGGGATCAATAAAGTATCCATTATTATTATTATTTCCTCATAACATTGGCTGCAGACTCCCATCTCTGCAGGACCTGTACACCTCCAGGACACTGCGGCGTGCAGCCCGGATCTCAGCTGACCCTTCTCACCCTGGACACAGTCTGTTTGACCTGCTCCCCTCAGGCAGGAGGCTCCGGTCCATTCGCACCAGAACCTCTCGCCACAAGAACAGTTTCTTCCCCTCTGCTGGTGGACTCATGAACAATAACCACATGATTGTCCCCGCCACTAACATATGACCCTACGCTGTGTAACTGCATCATTTCATGTTTGGCACTGATCACCACCTGCACTCATGTATATATCTTTCTATGTAGCACTCTTAATTCTTATTCTCATGTATATATCTCATGTATATCTCATGCACATATCTTTCTTTCTACATAGCACTTTAATTCTTATTGTCTGCACTGAAGCACCGCAGCAATTTCCTAATGTTGTAAACCTCAACATCTGGCAATAAACCCATTCTGATTTCTGATTTCTGATTTCTGATTTCTTCAAAGTAGACACAGCATCAGCTCGACTGCTGTTTACCCTCCTGAGGAAATGAGTTTGAGACCTCCACACCGAGCATCATTTATCCATCACGTGTATCCTGCTGTAACAACAAGAGGACATCCTGGGCTTTCTATTAATGCCCCGTCTGTGAGGGTTATCTGAAGGTGAGGAGGAGGAAGGCCAGATATAAGAGCAGGGAGGTCAAAGGTCAAAGGACACACCAGCTTTTCAGGTGCTGTTTATTGTAGGTCTGCAAGGCTTTGAGGCTTTATGATTTCTAGACGAGGAAATACGAGACTTTTCAGTTGACCTCAAACACACACGTTTAACCTTTATGGTCTCTTTCATACAGTCTGACTGTATGAAAGTCTGTGCAAACTCCTCCCACAGTCCAAAGACAGTCAGTGGGTTAGGCTGATTGGGGATTTGAAATTGCCTCGCTGTGTCCGACAAACTGGGCGTACCCTTCCTCACGCCCCGTGACAGCTGGGATCGGCTCCAGCCGCGTGACTCTGATCAGGATGGATGGAGATGCTGAAACTGGTTGGAAATTGTTCTTCAGCATGAAACAGGACGACGCTGCCCACGACCACCGAGACAGCTCGTCTGATCACGCAGAGAATGTCAGAGGAAGCAGCGAGAGGCGCTCATCTCTGAAAACATCTGTGTCCAGAATGCAGATAGTAGCTGCTCCGTGTAGCCAATGACACACTTTACTGACAGCAAAGCTGATCTGAAGCAACCAAGGCCACCAGGCTACACCGGGCAGGTTAACCACCCTGATGACTTGTTGGTGACATAAGTTAACTGGTGAAGCAGTTATTTCCACTCAAACAACAAGATGATCCCAATAACACTGTGTTGTGCTGTAGAGGGAGAGCTCTGCTTATGCACAGGTGAGTGAAAGAACCACAAGCTCGGCCTCGCCAAGAGTCGAGCATTATAGCAACTGTCAGAGTGACTGATGACATAACACGTAAACTCTAATCCCACAGAATCCCCAGCAATTTTTTTCCCTTCTGCTTCAATATATGACAACACAACATAATGTCATGCTGGATTAATCCTCAGGCAGGCAGGGGAATACTCGCTCACCCAGAGTCACCTAAAGACGGTCTATCTGAGGAAATCTTCTTACTGCACGGTCTGATTTCAGCTTCCGTGGTTAATCATTGAGCAACAATCTGGATTTGAGTTTACAGCAAGACGTTTGTCCTCTGTGAATCATTACCCCGACCGTAAAATCCTCAATCACATAATCTACAAGGAAACATGTCGCAGCTCGAGTCAGAAATCCTGGTAACAACCAAACACACGGTTTGGTTGCTGCTTCCACGTCCCACCTGCAGCACACTGCAGCTCAGCTCAGAGCAGCTATAATTACTCAGCTATGTGAAAAGACCAATGCCCGTCCACTAGTGTAATATGACAAAAAAAAGATGAGAAAACTGAGAGCTTGAGCTTGTGACACACAAAGCATGAGATCAGTTCCCTGTTAAGCTCATCTTCAGTCCCAGAATAAGACACAGTACATGTGCGGCTGTGAGCTTCTTTCAGCGTTTAGGAGACTTTAATACGAGCAGGCAGCAAAGCTGAAACTCTGCAGTTATGGTGTCAACAGTCGCCCGCCTGCAGCTACACTTACTCCA